TGAGAACATACATACTCCCTCGTCCGCTATCGCATACTACATACTTGCCTTCTTTGGGAGTATTATGTTCGCTCCTCACACCCCTATCCTGCATTAAAACAATGCGGGTGGGCCTGTGGCCCGGGGGTCTTGACCGACCCCCATGCCCGGGAGAGAGGAAGAGAGAGAGAGCCTCTCTCTCTCCCCTAGCCTTGGCGAAGGAAAGAGATAGATAGACAGAGAGCGAGAAAAAAGGTGTCAGTCGGGGGAAGTCCCTTTGTTTCACGAAGACCTGCCCGCTGGAAGCCGGACGGACAGAGCCCCTACGGGGGAGGTGCGCGCTGGTGCCTTTACAGCAAGCAATAGAGAGCGAGCAAGAGAGAGAATGAGAGAGCGAGAGAGACACAGAGAGAGACACAGAGAGAGACAGTGAGAGAAGAGGCTGTGTGGAAGAAGTGAGAGAGAGAGGGAGAGCGGGAGAGCAGACATGTTCCTCTGGAAAACCGGGCGTGGTGGATCCAGCAGCGAGCTTTCACCGGGCACGGGGTGAATATACAACCCCTTTGCTACTCCCTGTGCGGTTGGGAGCGTGGCTTGTCTGGGCAGGAGGCACTTGCCGAGCGAGCGAGTGGGGGGGTGGCGATGTTCGCCGCGAAGACGGATCGAGGCGAAGGCGTGGGGGCAAAAAAGGCAAGCGAGGCACACATCGAGCAGAGCATGTACTGAGAGGCCATTGGCAGTAAGAAAACCTCGCCAAAAAGGCGCTGAACAGCTGCCAGGAAGCGCAAAGTACGGTAAAGGCGTAGTCGGATCGGGGGAATCAGGGGATCTGTCATTGTGCACTTCATCTTTGCATACTTTCGCTAGTTTGTTGTGTCTGTGAAAACCTTTCCCGTCTGATCTCGTATCGCAAACCGGCCACACAAGTGGCTATGCACCTGACACACAGGGAGAGGAGTCAAGGCAAGCAAGTCGTGCAGAAAGAAAGAAAAATAACACAGGAGATAGATAGAGAGAAAGCAGATTTCAAGCCTGGTAGAGAGAGCGAGCGAGAGAGAAAGGCCTCTCAGAGGAGTTTGTGTCACGTAAACATCTATCGATGTGTGCTTGTGTGGTTTGCTCAGGATTCATCGGCCCCTTCTCTGTGAGGGTCCGGGCCCTCTTTGTGAAACACACGAAAACCGGGAACCCTTTGGTGGACTCCGTGGCCGAGCATCAGCCAGGTAGCCCCGATGCCTTCCTGAGATATCTCGGCCTCGTCTCGTATGTGGCGCCTTTGGGGGTGCCGGCCCTCCTGTTGGGACCACGGAAGGATGTAGGCCTCTTCTTGCTGACGCTCGGCGCCGTGAGCCTTTTCTTCTCCCTGCGCATGCGGCGCCTGGCGACTGGGATGTGGAGAGTTCTCCTTGTGTATTTTATGGAAAACTCAGGAAGCATGCCTTGCTCAGGTGATTCTGATGGCTTTGCCCGCCTCGGCCCTCACGGGCTGCGCTCTGGGCATTGCCTTCGAGCAATTGGTGGCCCGACCCTTCCTGGGACCTGGCAAAGTGGGCTCTGGAAAGTTCTGGAACCACGGATTCGTGCGCGTTCTTCGGCTTTGCGGTGGTTCCGTGCTCGGTTATCACCTCCTCTGGCCAAAGGCCCAAGAGTTCCTCGAGTTCTGCGAGGACAAAGCTCGCTGGTCCCTGTCGCACCCCACGATCGTCACCAAGGCCCGGAATGGGCAAATCATCGATGACTACCGAGAAGCCTACAACTGGCTGAAGGAGAACACGCCGGAAGATGCTCGGGTGATGGCTTGGTGGGACTATGGCTACCAAATTGCTGGGATTGCCAACAGAACGACCATAGCTGATGGAAACACCTGGAACCACGAACACATCGCCCTGCTGGGCTTGTGCCTTTCTTCTCCAGTGCCAGAGGCTCATGCCATCGCCCGGCATTTAGCAGACTACGCCCTGGTTTGGGCCGGGGGTGGTGGGAAGGATGATGTAGGCAAGTCCAAACACATGGCCCGCATCGCCAACTCCGTCTACAAGGGTCACTGTGCCGAGGAGGATTGCGACGCCTACGGCATCTTCCCAGACGGCCGCCCGAGCAAGATGATGAAGGCCTCATTGGTCTACGGCCTTTGCGGCCGAGCTGAACTGGACCCCAAGCTCTTCGAGGAGGTTTATTTCAGCAAGAACCGGCGCGTTCGCATTTTGAAGGTGCACCAGGTAGCCCTGGACTCTCGCGCCTGGTCCGCAGACCCGGAGAACCGCCTCTGCGATGCGCCGGGGAGCTGGTACTGTCCGGGCACTTACCCTCCCGCTCTCAAGGCCAGGGCCGGCTAGGGCCAGGGTCCTAATCAAAGAGGGCATAGGGAAGGGAAGCCAAGATCCAGTTCTAGACTCCTATAGGCAGCATGCGTCCAAGGCACCGCTGGAGGCCGCGAGGACCAATAACGCAGAGACACATTGGGCACATGGAAGGGTGAGGGTCAAACAAAGAAACTCAAACTCCTCACAGGAGAGTTTGGGTACACTTTCACGCCCCACCCTCGGACTCGGCCCTGCCTTTTTCAAGCTAGGTCAAGATTCCGTTTCACGGTTACGGTTGGTGTTGTGTTGCGTTGCCCCGTTTCGTCTGGGTTGTTGTTGGGAGGCTCTCTTCGAGAAGTCCTCGGAGCCTGGGCAGCCTGGGAACCCGGAGGCGGCCGGGTACCAAGCGGCCTACGAGGCGCGCGTCCAGGAGCAGCTCCTGGAAAGGCCTCTGCCCAACGGAGAAGGCTTCTGAGCACGCAGTCTACGTAGGGATCTGACAATTTATTATGTAACTATGTGCTGAATAAATAGTCATTGTATGTGTAGTTAGGGCAGACAAGAGCCAGAACCCAGGATTGCCAGAGGGAAGCTTCTTGGACTCCTGCCGGGGCTGTCGCATCACAGAGAGGGGACTCCTCTCATGCAGTCACTGCCGCCAGCCCGGATCGCCCTCCGCAAGCTCCTCTCTGGACTTGGCCACGTGCTGGACTCCGCAGGTCAACAACATCCACGGCCAGTTGCAGTGTGAGCCGAAGCCCAACGATGCGGGGATTCCGGCTGGTGGATATCAGCAGTCTTGCAAAGGCTGTGCACTGAGCAAGGGGCTGCTGGAATGCAGCCACTGCTCCACGGCGTCAGGAAAGCAGGTGCCCTCCACCTTTCCGCTGGAGGCCTGCCCTGCACCTGCGTCTCTGGACAACGACAACGGAAAGCTCAGCTGCCAGGGCCTCCCAAACGACTTGGGCATCCCCGAAGGGCCCTACTTAAACTCCTGCCAGGGCTGCCAAGTCCAAAAAGCCGAGCTCAGCTGCAAGCTCTGCCGCCGAGCCGATGGCCAGCAGGTCAAGGCCGCCTTTTCGGACGTGGCGCTGCGATGCCCCTTCCCGGCGAAGCTCGACAACCAGGACGGTCGCCTGCAGTGCATCGCAGCGAAAAAAGGGCGGCCGACCGCATCATCCGCATCCTTTTGAGCCTGCATCTCCGGGATGTCGTGTTACACTGCATGCTTGTCTGAAAAAAAGCTACCTACTTACCTCATATGGTGTGTATCTGTGCAGAACTTCGGGGCCTTCTCCACGCTGCTCACGGCCGTGGACTCCTCCATGACGCGCGACGCCCAGCGGTTTCGGTTCCTGTACCTGCGGAGCGCAGCTGCTCTCGGCCTCTGGGCCGAGGTCGCCAGACATTAGCCGACTCTGGCGAGACGCTCAGCGAGTCGAAGCTGGGCGGCCCAAGAGCGAAAGAAAGCTGCCAGGTGCGTCCTGGAAAAGGATGATCAAGCGGCCGACAGCCGAGATCGTGCGACGCAGCATCGTGTGACGCAGCCTCTCAGACTCAGGATGAGCCCCTGGTGCGCATCGAGGTCTCGGTCCGAAGGCTCTCAGCGCCTCAGAGCCGCCCTGCAGTTCAGGAGCTGCTTCGTTGGATGGGAGCCGCCTAGGCCTAGGCCAAGACTCGGATCGAGGGTTGGGAGTGTAGAGAGGCGTGGCCAGATGCCTTCGATGCAGGCATCACGGATGCCGAGGCCGCCCCCTGCTTTGGCTGAGCGAAGCACGCCGGGCCAAGCGATAACGAACCTCGAGTGTCCCAAAGCTGGACTCAAAGTGATGAACAAAAAGAGCAGCGGGGGGCTCTTGACATGAGTCAAGGGTTGTTCAGCAAAGCTTGGATGTTCAGTTGGGACTTTGAGAGAGTCAGGTTGGCTTTTTCGACCTCAATAATACAGCATTTGTACTCGGTTGTCTTGAACATGCGTAAGATTACCCGAATATATGGGGCCTGAAAGACTGTGTGTTTGGAAGCCCATCCCTTCTGCCTTTAACCGCCATGTCCTTGACGAGCCCTTTTTAAAGGCTGGCTTGATGTAGGGCAGCCGGGCAGCCTGTCCTCCCTAAAGAGACCCAGCCCAGGTATCCCAAATGCCATCAGCTCCGGAGATTCACTCAAATTGAAGAGTGTCTGCTTCCTTATTTCACGCGTGCATGCTCTGTATACGAGAAGCATGTGAGGCAGCCAAACAGGAAAAGGGTGTAGTTCGCATCGCACCCGAAAGGCGCGCAAGCGTTGCGAAAGAAGGGTTTCCGTGTGAACGACCATCGGAGAGCTCCCATGTCCTCTCCGTTGTGTTCTTTGTTGTGCGCAGCAAGTGTATCGGCCAGCAAAAGAGATGCATGACGTACAGTCTTACCGGGAGCAATGCTGGTTGGGGTGCGTGCTGTATAAACGTTACAGATGGCGCAGTTGCGTGCCTTCGTGTCCGTCGGCTCGAGCTTGACACTTGCGGAGGCTCTCAAAAGTGCGTGTGGCACTCGTTGGTTCGCAAGTTCTTGTGTTGCATGGGCTGTTTCGGATGTCCGGCGCATTTCCACAGAGCGAAGGTCACAGCTTGAGCAGCGACGGGCTGCGCAGCGCCCTGAGATGATTTGGTTCGCCTGGTCCTTGTGTGAAGATTGACAGGAAGTACTCGGCAGCCGCTGTGGGCTCGAGTCAAACTCGGCTACGGTAGCGTGCCGATGCATCAACAGCAGCCAAGCAGCAAAGTCTGAGCTGTCAGGCCATGGAAGGATGTGAAATATCCTTGATCCTGCGTTGGGGCTACATGCTCCGATATGTCGTTTTCACTGGTTGCTTTCACCCTCCCTTTGGCTGCAGCCCGACATGTTGCTTCGAACGGCATATTCAGATGTTCGTTGCATGTGTACTCAAACTAGCTTCACTGAAATGAACCGAAAAGCAGGAAAAAATCCGACTCGGCTGCCCAGGACACCGTCGTCAAAAAGTCCAAGCCGGTCCGAGTCACTACAGTTTTGCAGCTGCTGCGGAGGCTGCAGCAACGTCACTGCGATGTGACTCCAGCAGAGGCTCAGCAGGCAGCCCGGTGTTCAGGGCCTTGCGCTTGCATTGCCGCGCCCGGTTGCATCTCGTTTCAGCTGCTGTGCTTCAGGTACTCGCATCCTTCCAGAAGTCCCAGCAATGGCAACATGCGATACATGTCCTCCGTGCCCTTCAGTGTGCAGACAGCATCAACTACGGTGCCGTCCTCAATGCCTGTGCCAGAAGCAGCAGATGGGTTGCTGCGTCGGCCCTGGCTTTGAACTTGAAGCAGCTGGGACTGGAAACGAATGCGATCATGGAGAATACGCTGATCGACAGCTTGGCACCGCTCTCTGCTTGGGAGAGGCCGTTGGAGAAACTCATGGCGATGCGGCAGAAAGGAATTCGCTACAATCGTGCAAGCTTTGGGTCTGCATTCGGCTCCTCTTGGCAGCAGGTGATGGCGATGCTCAGAGTCGCGACAGGACTCGACCTTCGGCCAGATGTGATCACTTTGGGTTCAGCTTTGCACTCGCTTTCCGAGAGCTGGACAATGTGCCTACGCTTCCTCCTGCGCATGAGAAGTTCCGCCTCCCGACCCAACAACGTATGCCTGACATCTGCGATGGGCTCCTGTGAAAACTGGCAGCGTGCGCTGGCGATAAGCCGCTTGTCAGCTCGTGGTGTCGACTTTCCCAGCACATGTCTGCGATTTGTTTCCGTTGGATTTGTGATGCTTGTCCCCAGACGGTCTATTCACTTAAGAAAGAAGCTTTTGTTGTTTTGAAAGGGACACTGTGTGGGGGGGGGGGGTGGCCAATGCCGGATTGGCAATGCCATGATTTCTCAGCTGGTCTCCCTTGTCTCCTTCCGTTTACTGTAGGGTAGCTGACTATAGCAATCTGTCAGCCGGTCAGGTTCGCGCCGCAGAGATGGACTGGACGACGTTGGCTTAAGTTCTTTGATTCTGGCGTGCCAAGCCACGTGGCAGACCGGGGTTCAACTTCTGGTAGATGCAGGCAAGTGCCCTCGAAACAAGCGTTGGGACGAGGGCACGCCTTTGGGGGGATGCGTGCAGGCTTGCTCCCGACAAAGGCAGTGGGAGACGTCGCAGCAGTTGCTGTCAGTTATGCAGCACTGCTCGGTGCGCAAGGATCTCTCTGCCTACGCTGCTGCTTTGCCGGACGCCCTCACGTCCGTTTGGTCTGCAGTCGTGCAGGCTGTGCAAGATGCCAGAAGCTCCTTCGCCTGTAAAGCGGAAAGTTTTTCTTGATGGTGGTCAGCTCGGTAAACCAATTGGAACCTTGAGCCTCAAGCATACTCCAAACGTATGGAGCGAGTTTCGTGGCTTGACCGACCAGCGCCAGAGTAAGGCAGCGGATTCTCGCCACAACGCATGGGCAGCTGGTCTTCCATATTGCTGGCTTTCAGAGACCTGTGTGCCGAAGGATCGTGGAGAATAGCTCTCTCCAGCATGGACGCATTGAATGGAGGGATGTTGCCCTCGCTTTGCAGAAGGAGTCTTGCCCAAGGCCTGTGCGAGCAAAGTTGCTGGCCGCTTGCCCTGGCCCTGGCGACCCTGGCGAGCTCGCCCGCTCCCAGCCTGCTGAATGCTGCTTTGTCTGCCTGCCGAGCCGGTGGGAACTACGAGCTAGGCCGGAGCCTGCTGCTCCAGCACATCACGGAGAGCTCGGACTCCGAGAGCCTCACCGTCAGCTTCAACCTCCTTTTGAAGATCTGCGAAAGAGACGAGCTCTGGCAGGAAGCCTTGGACCTCCTCTCAGAGATGTCCTCCTTGCAGGTCAGGAAGACAGAAGCGACTTTCACGGCCGCGTCGAGCGTTTTCCAGGGCGACCACTGGCCCTGGGCCTTGCACGCTTTGCAGGCCTCGGGGTTTCGGGAGCTTGCGGAGTCGGTCCAGGTCCGAACGGCCCTGATCCATGCCTTGGGAACCGACGCGCAGTGGCAATGGGCTCTGCTTCAGCTCTCGGAAATGCCAAATCCTGATCTGAAGGCTTACGGTGCTGCCCTCACTGCCTGCGAAAGAGGCTGCGAGTGGCAGAGGGCGCTCCTTCTGTTCCGGTTAGCTCAGCATCTGCACTCGGCCGATCTCCTCCTGTTTAATGCCGCCATCAGCGCCACGGATAAAGCGGGAAACTGGAGATTGGCTCTGGCACTGATGATGGAACTTGAAGCAACGCTGCAGCCTGATGAAATCACGCTAAGTGCTGTCATCAGTGCCTGCTCCAGAGGGGCCCGGTGGCAGTGGGCGCTGGCGTTTCTGGCAGAGCTTCCCTCAAGAAGTATACCAGCGAGTTCTATCCCCTTCAACTCTGCGATCAGTGCATGCGAGAGGGGCTCTCAGTGGATCCGGGCCCTGGTACTGCTTGAGGACATGCTCAGGGAAAGCCTGCCGGTCGACGAAATCACCTTCAATTCAGCGATCAGTGCATGCGAAAAGGGAGAGCTGAAAACCTAGCGACAGCTCGAGGCAGCTCAGCGCTGTGGCCTGGGGAGAAACAGACACCTGCCTCGGACACTTTCTCGGAGCCAGTCTCTGACGCTGACCGACGCAGTGGCGAGTCATCGTTTGCAAGTTGCAGCTCGCTGGAGTTTGAGCTGAGGTCGAGCCTGCGAAGATGTCCAGGCGGTCCATTGAGGCCTTGAACATTCGAGATAGTATTTGCTGGCCAGGTGCTTGTTGGCGTAACATGCTCCCTGCGGATGGAGAATCTGTCGAGGACTTAGATGTTTAGAGTTTAGAGTTGTGAAAAGGCTTTTCTGCACAGAAAGGCAGCTTCGAACGGGCTTTTGAAAGAATCACGCAAGATCACGTCAGGATTCTTTTTGTGTACATCAGTTAGGTCTGTCGGTCGCATCGAGCGATTGCAGGATGTCTATGTTTGGGGCGGAGAATCTGGATCCGGCCAGCATTAACGCGCAGCAGGTGATCATCCGTGAAATCTTCAGGCGGCCCGCTGCGACGAGACATGCGATGCGGTTCGGCATGCTCCAGTCGCCATGTTCAGGTCTGCGGAGGGGGAAAGAGCCCTCACACTCGGCCACGTGCTGAAGGTGCGTGCAGAAGTGCAGTTAGTGAGCTTACAGGTTACATCTTTCCCTGCTACACGCCGATCTTCTTCAGGTTTACGATACCACGATTGCCAAGCATGGAATCTGCGCCGCATCCTTGGTGGGTTCTGCCTGCAGTGTGGCTTGAGTCGCTTCCTTGTCACCCGTCGCCCTTTTTCTCCGGGCTCCAGCTTCAGCATAGAACAGCAGGACTGAGTTTTCAGAGAACGTCGACAACAGGCCAGGTTTTACTCAGCAACACATCCCGGAACCGGAGGGCGATGTCAGCGTAGAATGCTGTTAGCAGAGTCCGGCTCCCATGGACTGCCGGGCACCGGTTGGTGAGGCATGGTGGCGAAGGAGCGCTTTCTTGATCTTGAGGCCCGCGAAGCTGCCAAGCCCGAACTTATTGTAGCGCTTGAAGCCATATATAGTTGCTGTCAAGGACGGAGATTTATTGCTTCCAGGGCCCCCTGAGAATTACTCAGCCTGCATGCTCTTCTCATGACTCAGGGAGGTGTTCTCTCTGCATGCCCTGGCACCCGCAGGGCGCTGGCGGCAGGATGTGGCGACACCCGAAGCACGCAACTGTCTACCTCAAGGATCACGCCAAGACCGCCAGTGTCAAATCTACCACCGAAGCCGCTCGGCCGAAGGATCGAGACTGGAGATCTACACACAATCTTTCTGCAAGCAAGTCAAGAGCAAATACGAGCAAGTCGAGTTGCAGGTTCTGGGGAAGATGACACCTGTCTGCATGAAGCTCTGTGTTGACTGTCATCTTGTTTATCTGCATGTTCACATGCAAGACACTCTGCTGTCCAAGGCACCGGCAGCAGCTGGAAGTGCGCGGAGCTCAGAGAAGGACTGCAAGGAGGGGTCAGAAGCCTCTGACGCGGCCGAGCTGCCGAGGAATGTGATGCACTTCAATGCAGCCATGTCCGCACGCAGCGGGCGCCGCAAGGGCAAGCGGGATTCGGATGCCTGGGCTGACTGGGCTGCAGCGGTGCAACTCTTTGATCGCATGCAGCAGGAAGATGTGCTTCCGAGTCTCATCAGCTTCAACCAGCTCATCTCCTGGCTCTCCGAGAGATGGCAGAGGGCCCTAAGAGCGCTGGAAGACGCACCGGGGGATGCCAGAGGGAGGAGCAGGAGCAGCTTGAATGCCGCGATGTCTGCCTGTGCTCGCGGGCGTTTTTGGACTTCAGCCTTGCAGTTGTTCCTGGCGCCCCCCGGGCCAGACCAAGTGAGTCTGGGAGCGGCGATCTTGGCCTGCGAAGAGCAGTGGCAGACTGCGCTGCTTCTTCTGGACTTACCGACGCGACGCCGGCTCTATCCAGATGTCATAGCCTGCACTTCTCTGATTCGTGCCTGTGGAAGTTGTCAACAGTGGCAGATGGCTCTAGCAGTGTTGGCTGAGATGGATGGGAGAGTCAGGGCCAATGAATTCACTTTTGGCGCCGTGATCACTGCGTGTGCAAACGGGAGTCAGTGGTCCACCGCATTACATTTGCTGAGTGTCCTGATAGAGCAGAAACTCCTCGTGAACGAAATCATCTGCAGCGCGGCCATCAGCGCATGCAGCAAAGCCAGCTGCTTTGCGAAAACTGTGTTAGAGTAGTCTCATGATATCTGAGGTTGTGATTCCAAGCTCTTCTCGGGTAGGTACAGACAGGGCACTCATGGACAGTTTGCAGCTGCGACAGGTGCTGCTCCAAGCCAACTCGGCAGCTAAATAGAGCAGCTCTCATCCAACTACCTCCGTGTATTGGCCTGGCATGCACTCGGTCTACACCCACAATTAGTGCACTCACGTGACCCGCCCGGCTCCAGATGGCACAGCCAGTGCGGGACGCCTATATGGAGACGGCACGCGAATCATAGGAACCAGAAGTGAAAGCACCGTTCGCGAGATTCCTTAGCAGTCCTAGCGTGCACAAACTCGAGAATCCGAGGCTGTTGGGAAGCAGCCCTCTCCTTGCTGTCCACGTTCCGGCCGAGGAGTCTTCGGCTGGATAACGTTTCCTACAACCCCACAATTGCAGCCTGTGGCTCCGAAACCTGGGAGTTGGCACTGCTGCTTCTGCAACGGATGCCCACACATTCCCTGCGTTCGGATCAATACACCCAGACGGCGGCCTCTGCGGCTCTGGCGGCTCTGGCCCAAGGCTGGCGACGTGCTTTGACCCTTGGTCACCCCGTTCTCCCAAACGGGGCGCCCTGGGAGCAGGCTCTTCTGAGCCTTCACCTCTCCAGTCTGGCGCTCCGCCTCCGCGCCTTGGAGGCTGCCCTGCTCGTGTCGACCTCCAAGGAGAACGCTCTCTCCGCCTCCGGGCCAACCTGGCGCAGGGTCTTGGCCCTGTTCTGCCTGTGCCACCGCGGCCTGAGGCGCAGCTGCGCGAGCTTCGCAAACGTCGCAAGGCTCCGCAAGTGGCCGCAATCCCTTCACATTGCAGAGCGGATGGGTCAGGCCGGGATCCCTTCTTCGATGGTTGTACAGAGCTCCGTCATGGGCTCCGTGGGTGTGGAAAGCTCAAGGTGGCGGCTGGCACTTTCCATTTTTCATCGGTTGAGCCGAGATGTTCAGGCTGATGTCGTCGCCTTCTGTGTCATGTCCACTAGCTTTGGGGAAGCCAGTGAGTGGGGGAAATCCTTGCTCTTGCATGGCGAACAGATGCACCAGTTGGTGACTTTTCGGACAAGCATTACAGCGTGCGAGAGGGGCTCGCAATGGCAGTGTGGACTTCATGTTCTCGACGCTTCGCAGGCGGCCGGCTTTCACGATGCCAACAGTGCCCAAGCCGGCCAATAAACTTTCAATTATAAATTATACTTAAAGTTAAAAGCCTTCACTCTCTTCACCCAGAACTTGACTCTCTCACTGAGGTTGCAGCGCCGCAATCAGTGCCTGCGAGAACTGTGGGGAGTGGGAGATCGCCTTGGAGCTGCTTCAGACGATGCTTCGACAGGAACTCCGACCTGACAGCTTCACCCTCAGTGCAACCATTTCTGCCTGTGCTAATTCTGGCAACTGGCAGCTGGCGGTCGACTTGTTGGAGTGCATGGATGACTGGCGAATTCCTGCAAATGGGATCTGCTTGACTGCGGCCATTAGTGCTTGCCGTGCCTCTGCCCAGTGGCAGTTGGCATGTGATTTACTTCAGAGAGTTGCATTGCACGATTTCGTTTTTGATGAGCTTGCTTGCACAGCAAGCATGGGCGCTTGTGGGCAAGCTAGCCAGTGGCAGCGTGCTACGCAGCTTCTGCCCTGGCTGCAGGGCTACGGCCTACAACAGTCTGAATTCGTCTTCGGAGCTGCAGTTGGCGCTTGCGCCAAGGGTCAAGCAAGCGCTTTTTGAACCTCTGGTCACGAGAGGGTGCAGCAAATGCGTGCGCGTGTTGCTTTTGAAATCCTTTTCCTTGCTTCAACACTTTCCCGCAGGCCACGGACCTCGCCGGGATTCAGATCTACCGGGCTTTGCTGCAGCCCGCTTCTCAACATCCGACTCGAAGTCGCCAGCAGCTGCCCTTTGGCGCAGGTGGGGCAGAAAGGATACAGGGAAGCCTCAAGCGAATGCACGCACGCCGCTGGAACCCATCTTGCCGGATGCGGTTTGTTGGCGTAGTCCCGAGTCGCGGCCATTGCGGCCTGATGGGCCCCTGAAGCCAAGCCGTCCATGGCAGCCGGGCCCTCCAAGGAGAAGCAACAGCTTGCCAGCGCAAGCTCCCAAGGCGAGACCAAGAAACGAAGCCTTCTCACTGCAGGCACTGTAGTTCTGAGTGTGTGGAACACTCATGATGTGATGGCACGTAGTGGAAGTGCATGGGCGATCGCCTGCTGCATTCGGTGTCGCAGTATTCCAATCTGGAAGTCCTGCATGCTGCCCCATGCTGCATGCCTGGGTTTGCAGGTGGACATCCCTGTCGAGCCAACGACAGGCCCACGAGGAATACTTTGCGAGAGCATCTGTACAAGTTTCTCTTGAGGTCCCCAGCAACCTCCGCTCGTCTCGGTCCCGGTGGTCCCTGCTCAGAGTTCCCCGACTCCGCGGAGGCCAGAGACTCTGCAGAGAAGTTCTGCACAACGTTCTTCTTCGCGAGGACTCGGAAGCCTTCGCCCGCTGTGGGAGAGGAGGACCTTCTTGAGCCCGAAGTGGCTGAGGCGAAAGCCACCCCGGAAGAACCTGTCACGGCAGTGGCAGCTACCGCAGCCCAACGAGCTCTTGGCAGCGGAAGCACCTCTGCAAATCTCAAGAACACCCCAGCGATCGATCCAGGCAGCAGCTGAAAATGAGGCAATCCGCTAAAAGCAGAGCCCCTTTCCCTTTCATTGCAGGTCCGGACCTGGTCGACCTGCTTCCCACAGCCTCTGCACTGGTCTCCACTTCGATGCTTCCCTTCCGATCGACGGAGGACCCGCAGCAATCGGTATGAAGAAGGCAACGCATGGCAGAACACCCCGTGAGGAAGCCAGCACGTGGCAGCCGAGGCGTGATGCGGGGTGCGCGTTTCTGTCTTCTCGCTCTTCCGGTCTCTCCCCGGAGGCCCCATGGATCCGGGTTGAACGAGCAGATGGATGCCATGGCCATTCTTGCGGATGCTTTTGCCTACCGGAAGAGCCTCGCGCGAGCGAGGGTCCAAGTTCCCCACGTCCACCCGAGCTCCAGAGCGCTGTGCTTTCCAGGCGGTTGGTGCTTGGCAGAGTGCTGTGCAAGACGAGAGGGAGCTCGTGCTGGAGCTTCGACGAAAGCAGGCGCCGAAGAAATGCAGTGCACATCTTGACTTGACTTGGTCTATTCGTGTATGACTCCGTCTGCAGGCACTGGGATACTGGTTCCGCCGGACCAGGCCTGGCGGCCGGCAGGATGCGTTTGTGCAAAGCCCCGCGTGCCCCAAAAAGCCCCCCATGTGCAGGTCCGACATGGCCGAGAGGGCTGCGGACCTTGAGCGGAGGTCCGCGCAGCGTCGACAAACCCTGAAGTCCCGATCTCATGGGGTTTGGGAAGGCTGTGGGCCTAGGGGTCCATGCCGTAAATCCGGAGTGTTGGGAGGGGCTTTTGGTGGTTTCTGATGTGATTCTTGCTTCAAGGCTTGGCGTGGCGAGATGGCAGCTTTGCCTCATGGCGAGAAGAAGCTTCCGCCATACCTTCGCCCGGTTGCACGGGTCCAGGTCCCGGTATGCTGCAGATCTTTCGAGCCCGAGGCTTCGGATAGGGTTAGGAGTTGCCTGGGGATCTGGTAGGATTCTAGCACAAAAATGAAAGGTGGATGACCTCAGTATTCTCATGGAAGGTCTGAGGGCAACGTGCGTCGGCTCAGGCTCCAGTGCCGACGCTGTCTGCACTTGGCTTACGGCAGCTGGCTGGTGGCCGTCACTCACCCAGAAGTTTTCCGCCCTCTCGTGGTGATGGAGCCTGGACTCCCGTGCTGGGACGGACAGTCGCATTGAGGTGCACTCCGTTCGGCCCTGAAATGCACAGAATACTGTATCCCGACGAGAGCCCGGGACTTGGCATTGGTCTCCTTGGTCTTTGCGGAGGCCAAAGAGCTCCTGGCGCATGCTACGCGGCTCACACGCTGCCGAGTGCTACAGGCAATTGCGATTGCGTCACTTTGTGATCATCGCCGGACACGGATCCTATTGGCTGTTGTGAGGGGTGCTGGACGGCGCTGCGGGCATACTCGCAGCAGCGACAGCTCATGGCCTTGTGCCACAGGGTAGATGGAGTTCGGTGTGCATGGCCACCACTGCGACGACTGCGTGAGGTACCGGAGCTGGGCAGACGTGCACTGGCTCCGCTCTCGGATGACTGCGGCCTGGCAGGCCGAAGTCCGAAGCACAGCCGGGGCCCAGCCTCTGTTGCGAAACTTCGTGGGCGCAGGCCTGGCTTCGGTGGTTCCGGAAGCGTGGGAAGGCCTCCTTACGACACGGCCTTGCCCTGCACCACGCTTCCGGGCTTCGATGAGGTGGTGGCCATGCGCAGTGAGCCGCAGCTGCTGGCGGCCTGGTGCTGGCTTCGGGTGCATGCGGGATCCGAGCGCCACAGGTGAGCGGCAAGGGTGCGAAGCGATGCAGAGTGTTGAGCGTTCCCTGCGGTGTCGCCAGGCGGTGGCTGCCACCCGGCTCAGGCCGACTCACTAAATTCACTGACCCCGGCAAGCTTCCAACAGCCTTCGTGCCTGGAGGTCACTCACAACAACACACATGGTCCAAAGCCTCGGTCGTGGTTTCATCTTGCATCCTGCAGCACATGGAGACGAATCCTCAGGTGGTGGGCCCCTGCAGTTGACCTTCTTTTCGGCCCAGCACCCTTCGACGTCCATCCGCACCACATGCAGGCGCTCCTCCGACAAAGGTATGCAGTATACACGTATAATCAAGCACTGTTGATGATTCAAGATCTGGTCTCATGCCTCCCAGCTGATGCCTTCTTCAGGCTGTACAGCTCACGGTGCTGCGCGGCTTTGTCAGCGCGCTCTTGAAGAAGATTCTCTCGTCTTGGCAGATGCAGGACGGGGTTCCAAGCTCCAGCGGACACCCTTGCCCGAAGCAGCGAGCTTGCACTGCGCAAGGCCCGAGGGACCAGCAGCTTCGTCCAAAAAGTCCGCCTGAGCACGCTCGCGGCCTGCCTCTCGGCCTGGAAGGCTCTGCAGTCTTCAATGATTCAGCTGCGGCTCGCATCCGTTTGCGCGAGTGTGGAGGTCCAAACGGAAGAACTCCAGCGAACCCGCGCATGCCAGCAAGAAGCTGCGAGCTCGCGGGCCCACGTTTTAGGGGCGGCGCGACCAGAGCGGAGTCCAGGTGGCTTCACTGAGAGCAACCCGGAGCCGAGCGAGTGCCCTGAGGAGCTGGAGCCGAAGGCCCCTGGGCCCCCGGGCCCCTCCCATCGCCTCAGCCTAGCTGAGCTGAGCTGAGCTGAGCACAGCTGGGCGGTAGGTGTCGACGCCGAATCGAGCATCGACACCGGGCCCAAGACTTCGCTGCGGACTGTTGGCATCGAAGCTGCAGGAGGCAACGACCACGAGTTTTCATGTGGAAGGCTTGAGATCTTCACAAATCCACTCAGGGCCTTCTTGGCGTGGCGCATAGCTTGGGACTGGGAGGTGTGCAGCTGAGCATGCGACGGAGCACCTTTATTACCCGCAACTTGTGAGACTTTGGACCGCATTGCAGTTTGCATTTGTCAGGCTGCAGTGCTGAAAGCACAGTCTCTTGCCGGAGGACGACTTCTTTGTGCAGCGATGAAGGCTACCAGTGATTACTAGTGAATGGATATTCTCCATGTGATCATGAGCACGTTGGGCTGATGGGCTGCCGTACTTGACTCGGATGACGAGAACCCCGCGGCGACCTTTAGGATGCTGAGCAACAACCATGCTAACAAAATGCACGGAAGAGAACAGACCCGCTACGAAGAAACACCAGCAGAAAGAAGACCGAGACCCACACTGGCCGGGAAAGCTTGCATACCCCACAAGAGAACTCAACCTCGTGCATTCTCGCGACTTCGCGGTCGACTGTGCCCATGACATGACCTCGTCGTGGCGACGTCACGGTCGTCTGTGCCATGCACATGAAAGGCTTGGGTCGGACTGTGGCACTATGAGCGACAGGAGACCGCGCAAGATGGCTGAGCAGTGTGCGCGCGTGTGTGTGTGTGTGTGTGTGTTGTCTCGGAAGTTGCAGGAAGCGATCCGTTTGCGGCTCTCGGGGCTCTTCCTGCGAAAGTGCAGCTGCAGCCTTGGCAGCCGGCACTGCTACGTGGCCCTGCCTTGCTGCTTTCGATGTTCCGAGGCCTGAAACGCGGGCTCCGGAAGCTCCACGTCCACGCGCCCCGCTCAGAGCGCAGCTTAAGAATTCGAGACTCGTTCGTAGCCTGCACATTGATGGGGGTCCGTCGTGTCCAGGTGGGCATTCAGGCCCGGCGCCGGGCCTTCCTGCAGGTCCGTATAAGGGAGGGAAATGTGCCGATGTGGGGTGGGTCGGCTCGGCTCGCGGTTTTCTGTCGCAGGCAGAGGCTCAGCTTCGAGAGGCGGTGCTTCGGAAGCGGTGGCGCTGGCTCCAGGCCGCTCCTCTGACGAGGCTGCCCTTTACAGTGAAGGTGCAACAAAGCCTGGTGTGAGGCTTGCTGGGGTGCTTGGAGAAGACATGCCGAGCATTGCCGGCTCATGAAATTGTGCCCCCTTGTGGCTCTGCCATGGTGCATTGTTCGAATGATTCTGACGTGAAGGTATCGTAGCTGGGCGGACGTCCACTGGCTCCGCTCTCGGCTGACTGCGGCATGGCAGGCCACTGTCCATTTAAGGGGGTCTGTAAGTCCTATCTGGCCTGTCACTTCTTTTGCAGGCCTGGCTCCAGTGGTTCCGCAAACGCGGGAAGGCTTCGGGCCTTTTGCAAGTTCTGGCGCATCCACATTTTGGGGCTTCGGTGAGGTGGTGCCCATGCGCAGCGCCCCGCAGCTGCTGGCGGCCTGGCGCTGGCTTCGAGTCCACGCAGCTTGCTCTGGCCATGTGCACTTCATGCGCAGGCCGGGCCGTGCGGTGAGGTGGAAAGAGTGAGTGCTCACAGCAACCCGTGACAACCCGAGGCCGCAACTTCCCATTGATGCGGCGGTTGCACCATGGTGCCGGGCTGACACGCAGAAGCATCACCGGTCACAGAGATTCGACCCAGGCAGCCCGTGGCCGCCGAGCTTCTCTTCGGCCCGGCCCCCTTCGACATCCACCCGCACCACATGCAGGCGCGCTTCATCACGCTTCCAGATTCCAGACGTGCGATGCAGAGTCGGGAGTTTTCACAATGAGCCGATGTCATGGAGCGGGCGTGGTACTGCGATGTAAACGGATCTACAAAAAACTTGGTGCATGACAATGCCTGAGAAAATGTACACGGGTTTGGGCTTATAGGGATCAGAACGAGATAGCCGGCGAGACAGGCCCCTTCCTGTTGCAGACTGAAAAAATCTACCACAGTCGGTATTACGAGGACGTCCACTGTGACGCTGTTGCCGGTGATGCCGCTATCGGGAGCGAGATTAGGGGCCGCAGTAAGAACGGAGTACCATGAGCCGATCGACGAAGTAAAGCACATGTTGCGATCGTCTTTGAGCAGGCGATGCGCCCTGGACTCCTGGAGCTCTTCGCAAGCGCTCTGCGGAAGGAGATGATGGAACTCTGGAAAGCGGAGGCGCGAGGTCGCGGTTTAGGTTTAGGGCAGTTTAGGGTTTATAGGGGTTTAGGGTTAGAAGCGGACCTGGGAGCTCATTGGTGTCCCGTTCCTTGAGGTTTATCGGAGCCGGAGCAGAATGCAGACAAGAAAGTCCTGCATGTCTCGAAGATGGCTCTGGGCTTGGAAGGCCGATGTGGGAGGAAATGCACGAGAAAGGTCGAGGTTTAGCGCAGATTGTCGAAGGCAGCCGCGGAGAAGTGCAGGCGCTTGCACAGCATCCAGACTGCGGCGCTGATCCGAGAATTGTGAAAGCGAAAGCGGGCGCGGGAGTCGTCCTCGGGGAGTTCTTGAGGTCCTCAGCTCTCGCTGCCGACGTGTCCGCCGGCGGCTGCTGCATCATTGGAGCCGAAGGTCTCCACAGCTCGGAGCAGAGCCGCAGAGCTTCCAAGCTTTTGCTTGACTCAACTTGACTCGGCTCTTCGAAGCGCTGCGTGAGCGTGAGCGCCTGCGGCAGGACCACCCAGCGAGCGGAGTATCGCGAGAGAGCTCAAAACCTGGTGCTGGCATGCTGGCATCGCACTTGCCGGAGGCAGAGTCCCAGCAGAGTTTGTGAGTCTTCATGGCGTTGCGGCATTTGCATGCAGGGCCTTGGATGCATGGTTGAGGGCGCGGAGATGGCAGGCACCAGGAGTTGAATGTGCAGCAAAGGTTTGCAAACAGTGAGGCATGCCGATCTCTCACGTAGGTCTTCGGTGCCACGGTGCGTGTAATGCCAATCAAGTACAGACTATCTGACTATCTATGCTGCAATCTATGCAAAAACTCTTCGGAGCGACGGAGCATATAATGCCAAGTACACATGATCTATCTGGTTAACACCCTTTTGTCCGGTGTTATTTTGGCCTTGTGACGTTTTACTTGTGGGGCTTGAAGCCCGGAGGAGCTTCACAATCCCGTTCGCCTGCAGTCTTGCTACATAGCCCCAACAACAGGGTCGCGCTTTTCGGCGGGGTGGGCTCCTGGACCCCGAAGTGAAGTGAAGAGAGAGCAGGACCCGCAGGCGGGTGCGGACGTCCGCTCGTTCCCCCCGTCCTGGGAGAGAGAGAGAGAGAGAGATGAACGCAAGCAAGCAAGCAAGAGAGATGAACTAACGGTTTGGAGACGAGTGCAACGATGACCGTCCTACTTGTAAGCAAATGAGCGTTCTCGATTACTTGCAACTGCTTTGCTGTATATCTGGCAGTGTCAATTGCACCGGTGCTGTTGCTGTTGCTCCCGCAGCCGCGATGTCGCACTTCAGCGCTTGAGGCCCTGAAGCGTGAGTGTAACTTCTTACATCAGGCACTGGCGAGGCAGGTGCAAAAGCGGCAGCTGCGAGGTCAGTTCCAGGCCATCGCACCTGCGCAACACATCCTTGCCGCTTCCCTCCTCTCTCCGCAGGCCTGGGTCGTTCAATGGCAGGACGACCGGCAGGACAGGACCAGGAGCCGACAGCCGTACAAGGTCGCGGCAGTTGAACGCCTGGGAGGAAGCAGCGCTGCTTCGCCTGTCGGCTCTCTGCTTGCGAAAGCGTAGCTCGGAGCCCAGCGGCAGCAGCATGCGCGATCGAGCGAAAGGTGAAGCGTGCACCAGCGTGCAGTCCACTACCCAAGTACCCAAGTGCCAGGTCTCCGCACCGGACTCTTGGCGCTGCGCTCACAGGTATCCGCCCTGGGTTTCGGCTCTGCTCGAGCTCGAGGGCCGCAGGTGCGAGAGACAGGAAACGACTTCATGCCTTGAAGGTGCGGCGGGAAGCAGCGCTTCGAGCTTGTCGCAAGGTCGGTGACTCGAGAGGGGGAACCACCTCCAGAACGGTTGCAGTAGAGCTGTCGGAGTCTGAAAGCTGTATAAGGCAACTGCGAAGTCCCCAATATGCATGCTAACTGGAGAACTGGAGAGACACGGACGTGTACTCATGGGCAAATGTGAAGGCTAGCAGCACGAAGTGGCACGAAGTATGAAGTGAATGCCGGCCAACACTGAGTAGGACTAGTTCTCAGGGCTGAGTCGATCCGCTCTGTTAAGTGTGGAGAGCAACCTACGAAACCTCACCCTGCACAAGCGCATCGCCGGCCCCACCCGCGAGAGCACTGCAGCTGTAAGGCTCTCAAAAGACCATGACATGGCCTGAAGCTGTCAGACCTAGCTGGCGAAACGACACGAACATTGCACGTTTGAGGAAACTGTTGGAGTAAGGCTAAGGTTAATGAATGTCTTCGCTCTGGCCTGTGCATGCGCATGCAGCCTTGCAGCGCTTCTGTCACTTGGGCTCTCCGTGTTGAGGTTTGCCAGACCGGGCAAGTATTGGCGGTTCGACTCCGCGCGCACCACTTTCTGGGAAGAGCTGAGACCCAGCGCAATCAACAAGCCAGATGCGGCTAAATCTAAATCGCCGCATCTTCGAGCCACTCCATCCGAACATCGCAGAAAGAAGGGCAAGAGGCCCAAATGGAGCCCGCCAGTCAAAGATCCAGCCTACGACAAGGATGTGGGCCAGATCAGCAGAACAAACAAATTGATCTTCGTCCATGTGCCCAAGACTGGTGGGAGCACAATCGAGCAGTCGAAGTTGTTCTACGACGCTAAGAAGCATCATCCCATCGGCGGTCACACCAAGGCTGAAAAACTGCTGCCTGACGCAGTTGGTCAGATGCTGCATTGGACGTTTGTAGTGATTCTGTTCGCCTAGTGACTAGTGCGAGTCAGCAGTCGGGCTTACGTGCGCAACTCCCACGAATAGACAGCTCTTAATTTGTTGTCAACATTTGTCTTAGACTTGTGTTGAAAAATCATTTCCGGACACTGCTGCTGATTGAAATAGATGAGGAAGCAGTCTTGGATTGTGGTTGTGATCCGAAGTCACCAAGTCTCGAGGCGGAACCTTGCGCCCGGCTTTCGCAGCTTTTCCATGGTTCGGCATCCTTGCGAGCGGTTCATATCTGCGTTTACCTACACTCTCACGTTGGCCCCAGAGCCCGAGCTACGCTGGCATCAGAAGAGCCTGGACCTGATATCTTGCGGTGTCATGACCTTTTATAAGGGTTCTCGGAGATCCAACAGCGCTGCAGGCCTACTAATGTCGCAGCTCAGGAATATCGGCAGCAGGAATTTGACCACCTATGTGGCTTCGAGTGACTTCGGTGGCGCCAAAGCTGCAAGTGAGGCCGCTTTCGGCCGGTTCTGACGAATTGAAGCTTTTTGTACGTAGCCCTTCTTCAATGCCAGCGTGCATCTGAGGTGATGCGTTCTGGAGATTCTTGCATTTCCTGCCGCAGCACTCGTTTCTCTTTTTCTCCAACAAGACTTTCGGCGTGGATCTCCTGTTGTGCCAAGACAACTGGACGAACAGCATCCAGAGATTGCGGGAGTACATGAAGCCTACACAGATCCCTCCGTTTATACACACGAAAGCACGCAGCACAACACACTCAAAATGCTCTGACTTTCCAAAGGAAACGCGTCAGAGAATCGAGAGAGCCTATGCAATGGACATGTGCCTGTTTTATCCAACTGACGCTCCAACGGCATGTAGTAGTTTGTCTGCGCACGAACTGACAGCACGCTACCAGACGTGCAAGTCTCGCGTGTCGGGCAAAAGGCGTTGAGCCGCAGAGGTGCCATGCTCCAGGGATGCTGGTAGATAGGGAGCCGCTATCGGGCAGCAGCTCCATGAAGTTTTTTCAAGTACCACCAGCTCGCAGCTCGAGTGTAGCCGGATGCCCTGGAAGCTGTCAGATGCACCAGCAAGTAGAAGGGCGAATGCTCAGTGACACTCAGATTCTGACAGGCCTTTTACTTTGAGTGGAGGATGAGTAGCCGCGATGCCTGTCACTTGCCGTCCCTTCCACCACACCTCTAATCTCCGATCGAGCCCCAAATCAGAAATACGAACGTGCATATCGACAACCATCCTTGCATATTGACTACCATTCGAATTCCACAGCAGGAGCATGTTTTTGCAATAGCAGCAGTGGCGATCTTGCCACTCTCTGTGTCTCCATATTGTGAGGCCTCTTTCACATTTGAGTTTCAGAGATAACGGAGAGAGAAATGGAGAGGGACGAAAAAGAGGGGTCTACCTCGCTGCAGCTTTCCTGTTCAACGCTCGGGAAGCTTATGATTCGAGCGCACTTCAAAGGGACCCAGAGCGGTCCGAATGCAAACTCCTTATAATGTATCCCCACAGCAGCTACCACCATCTTCCAGAGCAAGTGCCGGAGCATGAGATTGCCGGCACTTGTTGGTGCCTTCGCCGGCAGCGCCACACTGCTTCTGCCACTTGGGCTATCCGTGCTGCGGGCTGCGGGCCGAGGGCGCTTCGACGTCGAAGAGGCGAGGCCGGCGGTGCCCTCGACGCCCCAAACGACCACGAGGCCGAGGCCCTCGACGAGGCCCTCGACCACGAGGCCGGCAGAGCGCAAGTGGCCGCTCCTTTCGAGGCCGCTCTTTCCTGTCTTGAAAGCCTTCGACGGCTCTGTCATCAACAGGAGAGACTACCGAAGAGACTTCGGCCAAATCAGCCGCAAAAACAAAGCAATCTTCGTGCATGTGCCGAAGACTGGTGGGAGCACGATCGAGGACTCCGGTCTGTTCGAAGATGCCCAGCCATTTCACAACACCAAGGGCCACAGCGACGCGGAAATGCTGACACTCGATGCATTTGGCAGTTGTTCAAAGCTTGTTGCAGCCTGCTGCCTGCTCCTGCTCCGCCCCCACCACCGCAACCACAACAAGCGACGCCTCCTGGGAAGCACGAAATAGCGTTTGCTGTCCCGCGCATCACCATGTTTCCTCAACAGCGCTTCTGTGCGGACACATGGTCAGCAGCACGTACTTGAAATTAAGTAGATAAGCGCATCATTGTCTTGCCTGATAGCAGATCGTGTGGGTCCTTTAGTTCGAGATGACTGTCACGAGTATAATTATAGTAAGGGGCTGTACACAACCACTATTCACAATTGCAGAAGATTTCGGAATCCCTGACATGGATCGTCAGCAACACGAGGAGAGGACTCGCTCCCGGCTTTCGGAGCTTCACCATGGTGCGACACCCCTGCGAGCGATTCGTGTCTGCGTGGACATATATTCACACGACAGATGCACCGCAGCCGGAGCGGAAATGGTACCGGAAGAGCCTCGGTGATTCATATAGGAGTTTGCCCTTTTAGCAAGTATAATAGCTTATGAGGCCTGAGGCTAAGTGGAGTTCTCCGTCTGGCCTCATATGACCATGGAGTTCTCAAGAGCAGCTCAGGCACATGGGGCACGGCAACCTCACCACCTACGTTGCCTCGAAATTTTTCGGCAGCCCCTTGGCTCTCCATCAGACGGCATAACAACGCTGTCATTACACCTCTTCGGCTCGTGCCATTCTTGTTGACAAGAGTCGAAGGCTCTCGGCCATGTTTTGGCTTTAAGGTAGCACCTTCTTCGGGTTTTTGCATTTCATGCCGCAGCACCACTTTGTCTTCTTTCCCAACCAGACGTTTGGAGTGGATCTCCTTCTGTGTCAAGACAGCTGGACGAGAAGTATCGAGAGGTTGCGCGAGTACTTGAAGCCCGTAGTGGTCCCTGCAGATATCGCGGGGCAGCACGCGCTCAAGACGAGACATTCTAAATGCACTGACCTACCAAATGAGACACGTCAGAGGATCGAGAAAGCCTATGCGCTGGACATGTGTGTCTTTTATCCAACTGACGCTCCAACGGCCTGCAGTGGTTTGTCTGCGCAGGAGCTTACTGAACGCTACAGGAACTGCACGTTACGGGGGTTCAAAAGCTTGCTGCGTGTGCACCGACAGCGCTGCGACTTAGCGGACTTAGCGGCAAGCCGGAACAGCCACGACAAGTCAAGTCTGCAGGTGCGTGACGCAGCTGCAGAGGCAAGTTGCAAACTGCTGAAGGCGGCCGGGTACTTGTGCAGAGCGCGCAGTTCTATGGCTATAACCTCTGGAGCCTTTTGTGAAGGTATGCTGGATGTACTTCGTGAGATATGCTGAGAGTCGGCGCTTGATGAAGCTGTGCCGCGACGAACTACTGACCAAGCCTGTAAGTTTGCATCTCTCAAACTGCATGGCGCAACCTGCTCCATTAATTGTGTGAGGTATCGTAGCTGGGCGGACGTCCACTGGCTCCGCTCGCGGCTGACTGCGGCATGGCAGGCCACTGTCCATTTCAGGGGGTCTGCAAGCAATAAATGGCCCGTCACTTCTTTTGCAGGCCTGGCTCCAGTGGTTCCGCAAACGCGGGAAGGCTTCGGGCCTTTTGCAAGTGCCTTCGTGTCCGTACTTTGATTTGGGGTTTTGATGAGAGGTGCTGCCCATGCACAGCGCTCCACAGCTGCTGGCGGCCTGGCGCTGGCTTCGGATCCATGCAGCCTGCGGTCACAAGCCGTGCCACACGTGGGACCCTCTTGCGGGCCAGGGTGTGCGATGACTCAGTACGCAGCCCCCGCTTGAGCAGAGGCTGCAACTTCCAGATGCCGCTGCGGCTTCCCCTTGGCGCCGGGCTGATACACATCACATGCCCCCAAATAGGCAGGAGGCCGAAGGGTAAGTTTCGCGGCCCAGGCAGCCCGTGGCCGCCGAGCTTCTCTTCGGCCCGGCCCCCTTCGACGTCCACCCGCACCACATGCGGGAGCCAACGGGGCTTGCATATTGCTGCAGGTGACTTAAAATAGATGCAAGCTTTATAGAACTGGGTATACAGTGGGTATAGCCGGTATAGATGGAGTGCAGGGGGCAGGCCTGGTAATTAGCGAATCTTCTTGCAGGCCATGCAGCAAAGCTTGCTGATCCTGTTTCGAAGCGCATTGCTGAAGAAGATCTTCGGTTCTTGGCTGACAGAGGCTCGCAGGTTCCCAACGAAATCGACGCAGAAAAGCCTTCTGCAGGCTGCGAAGACCGCTGGCTTCTCTCGTCGTGCCTTGGAGCGCCATCGCTGCGGCTGGCTCCACGCTTGGAAGGTGCCCCATTGCGGGCTATATGGGAGTAGGGGGAGTGCCTCTTCCATGCTTCGGCACGGGCTTCGACTCACAGGCCCAGGCTTCTGTCGGCCGTCAGCTGCGCGACCGTCAGCAAAGTGCCGCAGCGCTCAGTCAGTCGGAGAGGGCCGCCGCACACAAGTCACCTTCCAATGCGGTGGAGATATGACGCGTCATTCTTTCTCAGTTGGTCGCGAAGAGAGTGGGGCGCTCGCGATCGCTTGCCCTGCAAAGCTGGAAAACGAGGTTGGTTGCACCACCGTTCCACAGCTGAGCAATGTGCACAACAAGAGTGCCTGTTGCAGGTCGCAGCAGAGAGTGCAGCAGCGACGGCGGGTCTGCGACTTCCATGTGGCGATCTGGCGGCGGACTGGCCGGAGGCGAGCCGAGGCTTGAAGACCAAAGCTATGCTCAGAGGATTCGCTGAGGTTCCTCACGGCCTGGCATCTGCTGCAAAGGGACGAGGCAGGAGCCGATCTCGGCGCCCCCCGTGATCCTCGGGGCGGCGCTCACCCGTCAGGCCTTCGCTCGCAGGGCAGCGCAGCGGAGGCTGCGCTGCAAGTTCCAGGCGCGCCCGCCGCAAGTTTGGCCCCTCCAGAAGAAGAAGCGTGGCTCTTGATTTCCCGTGCAGGCCTGGGTGGCCCAGTGGCAGAACAACCGACAGGTCGGATGCGGGAGGGCGGGGTGAGCACAAAATGTCTGTGTATGTCTATAGTCTGTAGGTAGGTAGGTAGGTAGGTAGGTAGGTAGGTAGGTATGTACGTATAATGTATGTATGTATGTACGTATGTATGTATGTATGTATGTATGATACATTATGTATGTATGTATGTATGTATGTATGTATGTATGTATGTATGTATGTATGTATATGTATGTATATGTATGTATGTATGTATGTATGTATGTATGTACATCGAGAACGACTGCTGCGAAGCAGTGGATGCTCGAATCGGATCAGGGCGCAAACAAGGAAAGTTTGCAAACAATTTAGCTAATGCTGCTGATGCATGCCGAGTAGGAGTCCAGGTACTGGAAGTACAAAAAAAGAACAAAGGATTCGTTCGTATCGTGCGAAGCTGAAAAATTACTCATCTTGTCAGCAGTACCAGTAGGCCATAATGCAAAGGCAAGGCAGGAGGGTGCGACAGCACTGCGCAGCACAGCACTACCCAAAGTGCTGGCAAGGGAGAGGCGCAGACAGCTGACATCTTGGTTTTCTGAGGAGGCGGCGCTGCTTCGGCTGTCGGCGCTGTGCCTGCGAAGGCGCAGCCCGGAACTTAACAAGCACTGAACACAGAAGATGGAGGACCTCAAGGCTGGAGAGCCGCCCGAGGTCTCCAGGGCGGCTTGCATGCCCTTCGCCTGCAGGCCGAAGGGGATCTTTTTCCTGCATTTTTGTAAGGACCGCTGGGGAACGAGTCTTGACACTTCCCGGCGAGGTCCAAAGACAAGCGAGGCGGCGAGCGCATCACAAGGCCTTTTCTTGCACCTCAGAACTGGTGAAAATGTCCACGGGCATCTTGGGTCGTCCCAACACCCGGCCCCGAACCAAAGTCGAGGGGGTCGCGTTCAAAGTCCCTGTTGCAAGTGACGCATGCGGCCTGGGTGTTGAAGCATTCACTGCTCTTCTTATTGCCAGTTTCCTCCTTCGGTCCGTGTCTTTCGTCCCTCCTTTATGACACTGTAAGCGAGGTTTGGCTGAAGTCTCCCCACTTTTGACACTGCAAGCTGAGCGGCAGTTAGCGGCAGTTAGGTGCAGGGTCAGGGAGGAGGGAAGGGCCCCGGGGTTTCCTTTGCAGGTCCGCGACCAGGCCGCGGCGGCTCGCCGGCAGCTCTTGGAGGCGAGGGGCCATAGGGCCATGGCCCGGGCGCTGAGTTGTGCTCTCTTTGTCGAGGCTTCTTGGGCGGCGTTGGTGAAGCATGCGGAGCAGCAGCGGCTCAGAAAGCTGTGTCTTGAAATGAAATTCTGTTCCTTCCGGTCCATGTCTGCAGCAAGCAGTTGCTCTGGCACGTCTATAGGTATCAAAGTTGGGCGGATGTGCACCGCCTTCGTGCGATGCTGGCAACTGCGTGGCAGGCTGCTGGCCACAGATGAATGGATGCACGCTGCAAGCTCTGCCGTATAGAGTGATTTTCGTGAGTCGCTGCAGGCGTGGCTCAGCTGGTTCCGCAAGCGCGGCAAGGCGATAGACTTACACCTTTGAAACCACTGTCAGTGTATGCATCTCTGCATACTCTCTCTCTCTCTCTTATATGTATGTATATGTATGTATGTATGTATGTATGTATGTATGTATGTGTGTATGTATATACACATGTTTTTTCGAGCTATCCATGTGAGAGGTGGTGCCCATGCACAGCGCCCCGCAGCTGCTGGCGGCCTGGCGCTGGCTCCGAGTCCACGCCGCCTGCTCTGCCCATGGGCAGAGGGTGTGCAGGCCCTGACGGGCCGCCCTCGGGACGCTCTTGCGGGCCAGGGTGTGCGATGACTCAGTACCCAGCAGAGGCTGCAACTTCCAGATGCCGCTGCGGCTTCCCCCTGGCGCCGGGCTGATACACATCACATGCCCCCAAATAGGCAGGAGGCCGAAGGGCAAGTTTCGCGGCCCAGGCAGCCCGTTGCCGCCGAGCTTCTCTTCGGCCCGGCCCCCTTCGACGCCCACCCGCACCACATGCAGGTGCCGTAAACGGCCACATTGATGTATATTCCTCGCTGCAGCCTTCGAGGTCACAGTGAGGCGGTTGAACTGTTAAACGAAGCAGGTTATGAGTTATGACAGTTATGATTCTGAAACTGAACTTTCCTAGGCACACGAGATTGCTCAGCTTGACCCTCCTGCTGCTGCGCAGGCAGTGCAACCAGCCCTGCTGGTGATTTTTGCAAGCGCTCTTCTCAAGAAGATCATGCTTTCCTGGCTTGCTCAGGCTTGCCGAAGCCCAGTCGTTTTAGGCCACGTCTCTCTTGCTGTTTTTTTGCGTGTCTGCAGGTACAGGACTTTCAGGATCTCCTTGAACAAGCCAAACAGGGCGCACTGAGACGATGCATCAGGGGATGGCAGGCTTGGGCAGCTGGATAATGGCTGCAGCATGTGGGACATTTTCAGTCGAGGCTCAATCGCGATGCTCCAGACGACGTCGATTCCATGAGAGTGCCGTCAGGACCTGAGCTTGTTCGGACCGAATAGGTTCGTTACTGTTGGAACGGTTCAATATAGGATTGATGGATGGGTGGATGGACTGGGGGATGGATGTATGACTCGATGTATGGTTCGATGGATGCATGCATGGATGGATGCACTGATGGAAAGTTGGACGGAGGTGCGTACTTAAGATGAATGTGATGTCTGTATTATGAGTATAATTATGGCTAGGATGGTTACTACTATCATAAATATTGCTATTCGTCCTAGTATCATCATTACTATTGTTTTTGCTATTCATTTTTCTTTTTTGTTACATTATTACGATCACAACTAATGCTGTAATTCAAGTTTTTCATATTATCGAGAGAAATGCAAGCAAATATTTAGCTTACACATTAAGAAGTGGATGCCAAGTCCATCGCCATTTCCTGAATAACAAGGGCTTCATGACATAGCTTTCGGCACGAGCGAGAACAAGGTTCATGCGTGCGTGACATCGGTTCTCAGCATTTCGTTTGCATCAGGCCTGTGCAAGACAGACGTAATTTCGCATTACTAGTAGCTACAGTGACAGGAGTATTAGCAGCTCCAGTAAGAACAGTAGCCGTCATCGCCACTTGCAGTATCATCTTTGCCACAAACGAATCGGATCGGTTTTTTCATGTTGCAACTGAAGCTGCAAGACCACAAGGCCACAGATTGGCTAACAAGGGCAGTCAGGTGTTTGGCTGGTGAAGCAAACTTGGGCTTCGGTGGTTAACTCTATACTACGGTCGAACGGATGTTTGTTGTCCCTATTCACATACCATCGAATCAACCAGTCGTATCACACGAAGTACTCACCGAATATGTATGGAAACCAGTGTTGGATGACCAGTTGATGTCCAATGACGGATATGTCAGTATGCCTAATGTTTCAGTTTAACAAATATGTGTAGGCAGTTGTTTCGTGTGTAGCACGTGTCTATTGCCTCATGTTTACACGATGTTAGATTAATGTTTCACTCAAATCAGATTCAAGTCGCGCTAGCATTGTAGCTGATACTCACTCTGTGCTTCGTCATTACTTAAATTTGTTTAACTCATGTTCTCCTTCCGCATAGTTCAATAATAGTGAAGCAAGCTCATACATGTGCTGTTGACTTTATGTACAGATTACTTACCGCATTAGACCTCATCAAGTGCAACAGAAGTACATACGATTGCATGCTAAAATTAGCAAGATAATAGCCATAACGGAAACATATTAGTTGAATATTGAGTGTTCATGAGTAATTGAGTATGGTGTTTTAGATTCAGAAAATTCCTCAACGCTCGATACTACGAGTATTCATTTAGTAGAAGCCTAAACACATGTATTCTGAGCATTATTTTACTTTGGGGATAATCGCCAATGACCACCAGCTGGGTGAGAGAGATGAACATGTTCGAACGACCACCAGCTGGGTGAGACATGAAAATGTTACGAATGTACAAGAACCATATCTACTCTGCATCGTCTTGTCACACCAGCTCTTGAACAACATACCCCCAGAGTCTCCAGCTAAAACTGTTGTGAGAACAGCATCTTCGGAACAACAGTACATCAACCCTCTGTAGGCAAGCATGCAGGACGCATGCGCAGCCACAGACAGCATTTTCCTGCACAATCCGAAAATCCAATATTCTGGCAGAGATGCCAGAACCTTTCCTGGAATTTTGGAGATATGCAGTTCCATGCCATGAGAATGCTAGCATCCAAAATTGGTTCTGCCATTTCCACGATACTATTGGATTTCTTGATGTTTTGATTCTGCAGGACCGGAGGTGCCAGAGCAGTTCTGCTTCGCTCTTTCGGTTAAAAACATTCGATTCGAGCAAGCTACGTTATAGAGCTACATAGGAGAGAGGGGTTTACCTTTGGTTTTTCAACAGGCCAGGCATGCGAAAGTCAGAGACTTTCCTTGAACGCGAAACAGAAATGTGGGCACATGGGGGGAGATCATATCTGCAAATTAATAGATATCTATATATATATATATACAGAAATATATATAGAAATATATCCATATATATATATATATAGATGCTGTACTGTATATGTATATATATATATACACCCACCGTTTTTAGCTATACCAACGTGTAATACAGACACACCCGCACCTCAGCGCACGGAATGCTTCATTCAGGTTGCTGCGGCTCAGGAGCGTGGAAGCCAACTCTTTGATGAGTGGAAGCCCGGCTCTTGAGCTCTTAAGACGAGGGAGACAGAGCTCCTGTTGCTTGGTTGGAGACTCCGGCTCATTACGAACTCGGGATCCATTTGAGGCAGTCCTGCGGAGTGCAGATGTTGACGGCTTGGGCGGAGGCAGTGGCATGGAATCATTTTCTGGCGTGTGGTGCAACTCTTGTCAAAAGGCCGCACGGTCCATGGCCATGCAGGAGTCGAAGACATGCACTCACCTGTCAAGTCTTTCGGGGTACCGATGTTTTTCTGCATCTGGTGCGGGACGATATAAGCCTTGTGCACCTAACAAATCCAGCTGGCGAGGATACCCGCCGGTTGCTGCAGGTTCGCCGACTGAAAGTGCGGTTAGTGCTTCTCTGTACTGCCATTGATGTTATAGCATGCGAAGGCAGATGATATTCGCCGACGCTCTCGCCGAAAGGCGAGTCTGCTGAACGCGAGGGTGCCTTTGTATTCTTGTCTTTCGCGACTTTCTCTGTCACCCAGGCGGCAGGCAGAGCTTTTGCCGAGTGGAGCACAGCTGTGCGGGTTCGATGCGAAGCTGCGAATGCTGCCCGCATCCGGAAGGCGCACCAGACACGGATGTGCACCGGTACTTGGTTCAGGGAGCCCGCTGTGCTCCAACCCATCAGAGCAGGTCTTTGCGAGCTGGCACTTGGCCGTCCAGGAGCAAGCATTGCTGCAGAAGTGCATTTCTCAGCTGCGCTCAGCGGAGACAATCTTGATAGCCCTCCCACCAAGGTACCTGCAGGAGTGCGCTTCCGTCACCTTGCAGGCTGGAAGTGATGACAAGTTCTCAGCGCAGAGGCCGCTTGAAGCCAGGGATCTGACCGGATGCCACAGACTACCCGGCCAACCGATCTGGAGCAAGTCTATCGGGAGATGGCAGAGCTCCGGTGGGATGCCTCTTGGCTCGACTTGGCCCGCAGGGCTCTGGTCCCAGTTCTCGGCCGACCCTTGCAAGCCCCAGCCACCACGTCACTGCTGCTACCGAGACGTGCATACACTGCACCAGAGCATGATGATGCCGATTATTGCAGAACCCGAAGCCGTTTTGACCCAAACCTCGAGAAGGGTCCATCAACATGATGACAATACCAAACTCTCAAACGAGACCACACCACAGGAGTCACCAACCGTTGTCGAAGGCGGGGTGGGCGAGCCGAACCGGGGTCATTTGTAGTGACAGTGCCCGATTGCTGCGCAAGCTCAAGACGCCAACCCGACTCAGCTGTCTGACTCCACTTCCCACGTGTGATGTCCACCCATCGTTCCTTGCGCACTCGAGGTCACGGGTGTGGAGGCCAAAGAGGTGCGGGACGCGGGATGACTTCTTTCAAGTCTTCGGCCCATGGCTTGAGACTTTGGGATCTCAGGACTTATTCTCCGACTAGACTCAGTCCTGAACCAAGCTCGGGCTTGGACGCTTTAAAGCCAACTTTGTTCTTCGGGGGCCTGGAGGGGACGTCTTGGCCAAAGCTGCCAGGGCCAGGCAGAGAGTTGAAGAACAAAACGGACTCTTATAAGGATGGATCAGAATATCTGCGCACGGCACTTTAGACAAGCCATTATGGATGCTCCGTTTCTACACCGCCGCCCTGTCAAACTCTGAAATCGGATCCCATCCCAGCCGAGCAAAAGCAGCCCGGAGCTGAAGAGTGATTGAGAAAGTGCTGACTTCACGAGTCGGGAACCTCACCTTAAGGCCCCGAACTGAAGTTTTGTGGGGCTTCGACAAAGGCCATGGCACGCAAGCGAGCGCTTGCCGCCCTTGCATTGGGCGTCTGGCCGGCGCACTCAGCTATGAACTGCAGTTTTTCGAAAGCCTTGTTCGAGGCTACTGATGTCCCGGCAACTTCCTAAACCCGAAATTCCCTTAACAGCCTTGATGAGTGCAAAGGTCCGCGGGCTTTGTGAGCCCCTTTGGAGCCGCACGGGGCATCTCCCAGGCTCGCGCTGCGGCCACCCGCAGGACCGCCCGCTCGTTGGCCTGCCAACAGTGCAGATTCTCCTACCAAAACTATAGTTCTACTCTGTATTGTAGTAATTATATGGTATGGTGCTCGTACTGCATGATACTATTCGACCGTATATAGTTTAGAAGTCTAGTATATGA